GGCAGAATAGGATGTGCATGCAGAAGGCTGGCAGTTGTCTGGCTGGTTTTGGCATCTAAAATACAGAGTAACCAAATGAAATTATTGTGGTTGGAGGGAAAAAAAAAAAAAAAGAAAAAAAAGAAAAACAGGCAGTCTGAAATCCCTCTGGTTGGAAATATCCCAGTGTAATAATAAAAATGTAATTTTTGTATAATTGCACCCACTCTCAGTCAGGATATAGATAGAGGAGAGAGTTTAGAGCACTTGCAAAGTCAGAGCAGTTATTAATATGGGGATGTATCTGCTAGCAACAGAATAAATGCCTCATCATCTATGACAGGACATAGAAATATAATTTTTGGAGCTGCTTTCCTGAACAGCTGGTCTGCAATCCCAGAAAAATCTCTGCTCTGACTTTTGTCCTGAGTGGTGCACAGGAGCATTTTGAGAAGCACATGGGAGAGCTGATCTAATAGCAATTGCAGGATGATCAGGCTTAACCCTGCACCAGGAGAGACTAAACAAACAAATGCAGAACACAAGTGTTCAATCTAAAGAAAGGGAACTGCATACTAATATGGCAAGTGGTTACAATGAAGAAAAAAGGATTAAGGAGGGAGCAGGCTAAAAAGCAATGTAGCCAAGACACTTCTGAGAAATCCTGTATTAGCATTCAAGAGAAACTGTGCTGAAATTTGAAAAGAAATCAGAGTGGTCCAGCAAAAACCCTACAGGACTAAATAGAAAATTAGGGCGATTTTCACGTAGGAAGGACTGGCATTTGTAATGGGAATTTTGTCCTTCAGAATAGAGCAGAAAACTCTATATGGCAGATCAAATGTAACCAGGACATTAGTAGGGTTAAGAGAGAATTTGCACAGGATGGGGAAGAAAAATAATTTTAAAAGGTAAAAATTATTTCAGTATGACAAAAGCAGGAATATTGCAGAAGTCCTGTGCACAGAAATTACTCTGGAAAAGATGCTGGAAATGATGGACCATGAGTCTGAGTGCCATCCTTCAAGAGATGATAAACCTGGCAATGAAGATTAAGATCACCGAACATGTAGATAAAGTGTTGGAGAAAAAGAGCTCCACCAAAACTGGAGAAACATGGGAAATCAGAGAAATCTGAGTTTGCCACTCTTTTGGTTACCTCAACTGGCCTGAGGTGCCTGTGGCTGCTACACCAGGGACTCACAGCTGCTGTGGTGAGAAAGGGCTGGGTGGCCACAGACAGACAGCAAAGGGATTTTAGTGAATGTCCCCTACACAGGGACAGCAGAGCATCTGGAAGGGTGGCTGGGGACAGAATGGGGCTGCATGAAGTGTGTGGGGCATGTGCAGGAGCAGAGAGTGTGTGTAACACAGGAAGCAAACAATTCCTCTGTGGGGCTGTCGGGAATGTCCTTCCTACACACAGTGCCCACCTGACTTCCCAGGATGTTAAAGTGCAGCCTTCTTCTTTCCCATCTAACTGCAAATCTTTGTTGGTGCACACATACAGGAAGCACAGAGGATGGGCAAAAGGGATGGGAACATGAAGCAGAGATTGAACGTGACTTCACATGTATGGACAGTAAGAGCTCTGTGTACTTGGATCTTGGGTATTTCCTGCCTTGGACTTGTGGGAATCCAGGGCTTCCCTCTGGCTGCCCTGGCAGGGGGTCAGGAACCCCCCTGGACAGAGCTCCCAGAGACACTGGCTGTGATCTCTGTCCATGGAAAAGAGTTTTCAATCTTACAGGATGAATTACAAGCTCTGAGTGTTTCATAGAAGTAATAATTAAGTATGGCACGGCTGCAAAAGTAAAATTTTAGGATTCTAGATAAGGGGTCCAAAGGGGACAAGATGGAGGAAATTGGGTGTGCCTTGTCCTTTTCCTCCTTCTCCATGCCCTCCATGTTTCACTGTGGTGTTGGCATTTTTCTGTTGGTTCAGGCTGGGGACACACTGTCCAACGTAGGTGACAGATATTGGCACGTTATTGTAAATCCAGCCCAGGGAGTTTCTGGTATTTAATGTTTGTCACATCCCACTGAGGGCAGAGCCCCACACGCTGCCCTGCAGGACAGAGCTGGGCAGGGCAGCAGAACATGTTAGAGATAAACAGAATAAACAACCTGGAAACCAGCACAGACCAATTATGGCTTCTGCTTTGGCAGGGGGCTGAAAGACAGAGACTTTCTACAATCTGGGAATCATCAATACCTCAGATTCCAACAGGACTTAGGGATAAAGTTTCCCAAAACTGAGAAAGAAGCTCTTTAAGAGAGAATTTACTTTTGTAACTGTAGAGGCTGCTGTACTAACTAAATATGCAATGATGTAATAAGGTCTAAACAGAGCTCAGAATCTCAGTAAAGATGATAAATTTAGAGGAAGCATAATTGTGCAGTGTTTGAACAAGCAACACAAATGTTACACTGCAGTTATTAGGGTATCATCAAAGCTAGCATCTCTGGTATTCCAAAATGTGCTCTTCCATGTGCTCTTCCAATAGCAGTTATTCCTTAGGAGGGCTGAACAGAGAATTCATTTGTGGCTGTGACCACAAGCCTTCCAGGAAGCCTGGATATTTTTCAGTTGTCTGCATTATTATTCTTATCTAAATGGATCTATTGATCATTAATGATCTATTAAATGGTTAAGGTTTGACAGGTGACTGAGGAAAATCCAATGAGCTCTCCACCACCACAGAATACCAAGAAGTGAGAACACTCCTGTTGTGTCCTTCTGGCACTCTGTGAAACACTCCATGAATAAGTAAACAGGATTGTCTGGATGCTCCAGGCTGACCCTCAGCTCTGAGTGTACACAGAGATCTACTCAGCACAGCCTTTCGTGCAAGCAGAATGCACTTCCAAACAGTATCTTATAAATTAAAAATAGATTTTTGAAAACAATGGCATGTGCAGCACCTAGAAACATGCTGATTGTTTTTTAGGGCTTTATGAATATATTTAACATGGAAACAACAAACTCAACGTGACATTCTTATTTATTATTATTATTACCCAACTCAAGCATTTTTAACAAGCGGGTATGTACACTTTTGTTAAAATAAAGACATTGCCAATGAAGACAGAGCTGAATGTCAGAGTTATTTTCCATGTCTTACTGAGGTAAAAATCCCAGGGTGTGATGCCTGCTGTGTGACAAAGATAAGAAAAACCTGATTTGATTTTTTTTCATCACATGTCACCAAAGATGGTCATTTGCTATTGACTTTCAGACATTTAAGCATGTTTGTTTATTTATAAGTAAAAGTTACTGGCTTAAGAATGTGAATGAGTGAAAGCATGAATAAAAGGATCTCTTAGATTTCTTAGTAAAAGACTGGTATTATACCATAGGTTGTAATATCAATATTGCTGGTCAAGGGTATCTGGTGCCAGTCACTCAAGGCTTAATTCAGACAAAGAGCCTTAGCTACTGTCTAGTGTCTATCCAGTAATTTTTAATGTGTTTTAGACCAATAAACAGTCTGGTTCTAGAGCTCTTCTGGAAAGTGTCACCTCTGTGGCATCCTTTCCACCAGAAATGTTTGTGCACGAAGCCATTTTAATTATAGCACAGTAATGTTGATATCCTTCTTAAATAACGCTCTTTTTTTCTGGAAGAATTTTTTTCCTGTAGGTATCAACAGTATCAACTCAGTCATAGAATTTTAGGGAAAAATGTTCTGATTTCATAACTCGATATAAGAAGCAGATGTGAGGCAGAGCCCATCAGCTCTGTCTGTGCCATGGCAGCCCAGCAGACATTTCTCCCTGGCACTGCAGGCAGCACAGATGTCAGCTCTGATTAGCTTTCTTGGGAGCCAAGGGCTTTAGCACGGGCATGGTGCTCATCTAACCTGCTTTGGTTACCCTCTGCAGCATCCTCTGCTGTGGGCAGCAGGATCTCTGCTTGCCAGGGAGGAACTGAGCAGCCACATTTACCCTTTTCCACTGTCCGGGACAGACGTTCCCTCTCTACTGGGAAATCAGCTTGATGTGGGAGGACAGATTCAGAGGGAGCAAGATTCACACCCACTGAAGGCCAATATTGCTCCTTTCAAGCAGTAATGGAACAGTCTGTGCTGAGCACAGGGCTGGCTTTTGCCCAGTGAATGAGTAAGAACAAAATCAAATAGTAGAGAGCGGGTCAATAAGAGAGCAATCTGAATAAAGCACAGCTCATGTAGAAAAAATAGTACCTGTGCATGCAGGAAAGTTGTAGATCATAATGAATTTGTGCAGCTTTAATCCTCCTCCTTCTCTCCTAATTCATTAATTCTTGGCTGTACTTTTCATATCCTTGTAAATTGCTCTTACAAGTAATATAGAAACATATTTAAGAAATCTTAGCTTAATTGTACTGTATTCTTCATAATGTTTTAGATTTTAAAAAAAATATAGTAATTTTCATGTTTTTTCTTATACTCAGGTGTTTTTATAGTATATGAAATAACAGATCAAATAAAGCTTCCAATGTAGTTTTTGCACACAGCTATGTTTGGCTTGGGTTACTTATTAATTTATCCAACATAAACAGTGCTTTTCAGTATGCCCCAAATAAACTTGCCAGATACCTTTTAGACATCAGATTAGAAAGAAGACCTAATCCTGTGACTACAAGTTGATTGCATTTATCAAGCTAACCTACTGTTAAGTATAGTGTAGAATAATGGAGTTAAAAATCTGCCAGGAGTTTAAAAATGAAACAAAACAGAGGAAGGGAACCAGTCAGATGGCACAAGGAGCAAAAAGTAAGGCTTGGTACCAAGGTGGATGTGACAGAACTCTGGACTGGACAGAAAAAACAGGTTTTGAACTGTAATGTGGGTGAGTGAAGAATAATGAGAGAGTGGAGGAGAATGGGGAGGAAAGCAGATCCTGGTCTAACAGCTTCGGGAAGCAGCACAAGAACTCAGGCTCCCTGCCAGCTCCTACAGCTGTTCAATTCAGTTGGTGTATCCCATACTTTTGATAATTGTCACTCACTAAGTGTTCTGATGCCTTATTCGTTCCAGGGGCTCCAGGTAAGCCAGCTCAGTGATTCACCCTGCTATGAGAACTTTCCACGCTGCAAGAACCAGGTGGTGACTGGACCAAAAATGGTGTTTCCCTCCAAAGATGGCTCTGGCTGGTGAATATTCCTTTCTTCAGCTGGCCAAGTTGGTAGGTGGCTGTGCTAATTATCTGGCATGCCACACAAGTCTTAAGAGGTCTTTTGTTTTATTTTGGGTAATAATGAAACATTCTCTTTGATTAATGTGTATTATGAGTTAATTAATGTTCATTCATTGTTGTATTTTAATAAAAGTGTGTAAAACATCAAGATTTCTGCTTCTTAGAAAAAAACCCAACCATTTCGTTTCTTTACTATTTCCTGATAAATTAATAATGAGCCTTTTGGTACCTCTTTGATGTTGCTGGGATCACAGTGTGTAACTTTTACTGGGACCACTATATTTCAGGTCAGTTCATATTGTTTTGTCTGATTCTGATATAATACAAATGCTTTCCCTTCTAGTCCTCTCATATGTTGTTCTTTTCCTAGGCTATCATCTTTTTCCTGCTTGCGTTAGGAGAGAAATGCTGCATTTTAAGAAATCCACACCTTTCTGCAAGTGGCTCGTTATAACATTATAATGCACTATTAATCCAGTGTTTAGCAGATTAAGATAAATCACACACTGGGTATTATGAGGAAGCTTCAGGATTTGAGGATGTAATTCCTCCTTAGGAGGAGTTATGATACTAGAGGGGGTTTGACCCTGGAGATCTTCAAGGAATCTGCCTGGGGCCAGACATGTGAGGCTTTCTTTAATGACCTCTCTGAAATAATGAAGAGTTTGCTAATGAAACATCCTGTTGGAATACAGCTGGGAAACACTGTCACTGGGCAAGAGAATTGCAGTATGATAAAGAAGAGCTGAATAACCTTGAGGACAGCAAGAGATTAAACAGAAGAAATTCAGCAGCTGAGAGAATAGGTTCATGCATTCAGAGGCTTTTCATGAGAGCTTTCTCCTGTGAGACTGTAGCTGTCACCTAACCCAGTCATGGTTCATGGGAAAAATTGCTTGTACCTTAAACATCATGACACTTTTACCAAGTCAAAGCTGATGCAAAATTATATATTTTCCTGTCTTTCCCACTGTACAGCCCTCCAGAAGCACAAGGGAGGTGGGCAGTACCATGTAGACACTGAGGAGCACAGGCTTGTTTCACCCTTAATTCACTTGTCCATTCAGTTTGAAGGCAAAGCCTGAGTCTCCCAGGAGAGTGTTTTTGCAAGTAGGATCAAGAATATTCAAGTTTTCTGCATTCTCCAGTTGAAATATTTACTATCCCACTCATCTCTTGTAAGTTCCTTTTGCCATTTACACTGCATTGTGGTGAAATGTCTTGCAGGCAGAGTGGCACTGTGCCATAGGCCAGCACTTGCCTCAAGGATGGGATGAAATTGCCCCAAAAATCCCAGTTCATCCTTAGTATGCTAAAAGTGCTATGCTGTTTATGTTCCTGTTGAATTTGGACCACAGCCTTTGCGCACCAATGTTAATTTAGAAGGAAAGACTGATGAAAATGCCTTTGAGGTGTCCATGTAACAGCATCAGCAGTAACTCATAATTACTGCCAACAATAAATACTCTATTGATCCACAAGGATGGGACCCTGGGAACAAAATGCTTCCCGAAAGCTGAGTACTCACTCTTCTGATGCTTTCTTAAATGTCTTCCAGCAGTAGTCCTGCAGTGGCATCTCTCATTATTTGTCACGCTTGAAAGGCTGCTTCAGCTTCTCATTAAATGTTTCGGGGTGCACAACAGGTCTCAGGTTTATTGTTGCTTGAATTTCCCTCATGGATTTTTTTCCTTTTCAAAGACTTTCAAAGTACTCCTTCTTTACTGATCTTTTACAATCACTAAAAGATTGTAAGAGCATACACACCGTGACAGAAAACAATAAAGTTCAGGCAATTCCCAGCTGAGGGTGATATGGCACCATAGATCCATCACATAGATTTAGGTATTAGAGAGAAAATTAAGCAGCTTGTTGAAGTTGTGGCACTGTGCCTAGATGTTGGAACGAAACACAACACTTCCCATCATTAAATGAGGATTTAATGTTCAGGGTGCTCAAATGTTTCTCATTTTTTCTAAAGCAAACCTTCATTAGCATGTTTGTTTAAGCAGTACAAACTGTCCTGTCCTGGTGGCCACAAGGCCTTGGCTGCAGCTCCAGTCCCTTCTAATGGGCACTTGGACATCATCTGCATGTGTCTACTTTGTTTTGCACTGAGAAAAGATGATTTTTAAAGGGTCATATTGCTGACTGGTGAAAAGTGAAAACAGGTTCATAAAACCAGTGTTAGTAGGTGCGAAATTGTGTCACTGTTTTTGTTCTTTAATTATCTTAGTTCTTCATTTTTTTTTTTCACAGCTTTATTTCTGCTTGCAGGACATTTTTATGCAAGGGTAGTAAGATCCCAGAAATCAGTGTTTGTAATGTAAATTGTGACCTGACTTCAATGTTAGCCTTGAATCACTGTCAGCTGAAACAGCTGTGTCTTAAGAAGTACTGACTATGATAAATCCACCTCTACAGTGAAACATAAAAAAAAAAAAAAAAAAAAAAAAAAAAAAAAGAAAGAAAATACACATACAAATAATTATTTATAGAGTCTGGTATGGGAATAGAACAGCAGGAAACTCAAGGATGAAAATGTGAAAATTCTCATGTGACAGCTGCTGGAAGTCAGAAGCAGTACTACCACGAATCCATACAAGCAGGCTCAATGCTCTCCACAGGACCCTTTTTGGGGTGCTCACAGCTCTGGCCTCAGCAACAACCCATGAGGAAAAAAATCACCTTATTAAACAACTTGATCTTTGTTTTGCCTTCCCTTTCAGCTGGTTAAATGCCAATCAGCTGTGCCTGATTGGAGACATCCAGCTAAGTGCCAGCACCTGTGTCAGGGAGCTGGGCCAGGCTGAGCCCACCTGGCCAGAACCTTCTGGAAGAAGGGCTGGGCTCAGCTGCTTCTTGGTTTTGCTCCAAGAGGAAGCGTGGCCTTGAGGAAGGTGGTTGGTGGAGGTGTTGCTTCAAGGGATGTTTTTAACCCAGAATTATGGAGCTACACTGATTTTCCAGAAGAGACGGCAGCTACACCACTGGTGAAGTTGCTGGTAGGTGATGAGGATAAATTATATGGGTGGTGGGATCAATTCCTCGAGGGGAGTGTTTTGCTTTTAAATTCTGTGTTTTGCTTTTAAATAAATTGTTCCTGTGTTCGTTGGTAGCCAGGCTTTTTCTGTGGCAGACTGGCCTGAGCTCCTGCCTCCAGCTCCTGCCTTGCATTCCCCGAGTTCTCCTTCCCCTGGAGCTGTAAGCAAGCTGCTCTGGGAGGGATTGACAATACAAGTGTCACATTTCCTCTGAGCCACGAAGACCCCTGGCTTGCAACTTCAAAGTGAGAATTTCCTGTGTTGCTTGTCCTTCCACAAGGACGTGGGAATAGCAGCGTGCCCAGGGTGGCTTTTGGAGTATCCTCGATTTGTCTGGTGGTAGTATAGGGAGGGAAAAGCATTTCCTGGAGGACAAAAGAACATCTGTCCTGTTTACTTTTAATTCTAATTTAATTAATTTACTCTAATTTAATTTTAATTTGAAGGTATGGAAGGGGAGGTTATTCCTGTTACTCCCAAAACTAGTTAGTTTTTCTCCCAGGAAAGCAAAGAAACTGGGTGCACAGTGTGAATCACTGGTTCAAAGTAAGCAGGAAGCCTACAAGCTTCATTCAGCCTGCCAAGGACACTAAACCGAAGGATTTTAGTCCTTTTCATTAATGTAGCTGTGATTTAAAAGGCAAAATAATGTACCTTAGTCTCTGTGAGGGAATTTGAGCCTCAGTGTAAGGACCCACAGCCAAGTGGCAACAAGTTTATGAAGTTGCTGCATCTGAAGTACAGCCAGCTTCAGGGCTGGGAAGGAAGGTGTGAGGCGTTCTTTCAATCTGGCAGGAATAAATTGTCTAAAGTGATAATAGCTTAAAAAAAAAAAAAGCTCCCAGTTATGACTGCCAGGGGAACACCTAGAACAGCATCTGATGTGAGCAGAATACAGAAAAATGCTGCTGGCTAATAATGTCCAGTCAATTTTTGACAATAATCTGAGTTCCTGCGTCTGAACCAAGTTTCCTGGATCTCTAGAGAATCCCATTTCAACTCTAAAGCCTTATTTTAAGAATTAACATTTCAAAGCAAGCTGTTGGAATTTCAGCGGTGCTGCAATTTGCCATCTGCTATTTTTCTAATTCTAGCTTATGCTCAGATAAATTTGGCTCATTTTCACAAAATTATGTTCTAGCACTTGCATGTTCTGGCACTGCATGATCCTCTTGGGTTTATTCATGGGTTGCGTGGGTCTGGGGATGGGGTCTCATAACTGAAAAGGTTTCTGACGTCTGTTCTTAACCTTCCCTTTCTCAAATTTAAGAAATGGTTCTAAACAATACAGGTTTTATTATTCTGCCAAGAAAGCAAGGGGATCAATCATTGTAGTCTCTGCTTGGTTTGGTGCAGTTTTTGGTGATTTGAATTCCAGAAAGAGCACTCTGCTATCACTAGCACTCATACTGCTCTAAATAAACTATATGCTTGGGGTTTTCTTTCTCTCTCATTTTAGATGTTGTTGTTATTAAAGCATGAACTCCATAATTGATGGGCAGATTTCCAAAATGTGTGAGGGCTTAGCAAGGTTAACATTTCAGAGGAATAACAATATAGAGCATGTCTTGATTCTGATTAACCTAGCAGTTGTCAAGGGCTGGGCCTTCTCTACATTCCAGGCTACTGTAATAATTTCCTGTATTTCTGGTACATTTGCACATGCCATCTTTTAAGTTTGCTTTCCAGTCACTGCATCCAGTTATATATAGGCTTATGTTCTAATAGTTTCACTGAAGTTTCACACAAAGAATAGTGAAGTTTGGATCAGAATTCTTCCCTGGTGTGTAATACCCACTCCTTTGGCAGCAAGTTCCAGGTGACTCCTGTCTCTGTCTTTTGGATCCCCTACTCTTAGTTTAACTTAATTCTATCATAGTATCACCTGCAATTTACCAGAGAGGGCTTCATGAAATGCTGCATGAAGGACATGCTTTTATTCCTTTGTGGGCAGAACACCTAATCCTGTTTTCAGTCACACAGCTAATGTACTTTGGGCTGCCTGGGAAGTGAATCACAGCCATCAGAGAGCCAGGAAGGAGCTCTGTTTCTACTGTTGTACTATTAAACACTAGGTGCATTATATGGGAATAATATTAATAGCTTAAAAGTGATTTAAGAGTAAACTTTGTTGTACAACAAAGCAAAACAAACATATTTTCTTCTTCCCCTTCACAAAACCAAAGCTGGCTATCTGGAGACTTCTGAAATGAGATGGTATTAGCAAGTATCTTGAAGAAAAAATAAATGTTGGGTAGCTAATGTTGGGTAGAATTTGTTGAAACTTGGGAGATCGCATTGCCTGTTTCCAAGCAGAGTAAGCTGCAATATTCTGTAAGAGAGACTTAAAATCACTTCTCTGTTACATGTTTGTGTGATAGATGAACATGATGAGTGCACTACTTGTCTTGCTGCAAAGCCATAGCTGATAACTCTCTACCTGCAAACTAGACCTTTTCTCAGCGAGAAAGGTCAACTGTTAGTTTTATTTTTAAGGCAGCACCTGAGATCAGCTGTGATTTATACCCACCCATGGGATGGAGTGAGCTTGTTTTCTTCATGGTAGTACATGAGAAAGCATCCAGGCTACAGAGCAGTCCTATCTGCAGAGTTCCACAGAAGCTGAGCTTTTCATGGCTGTGGCTTTTGCTGCTGCTCAGCACAACACAGTCTCACCTGCTCCTGTGCACGGTCAGCTCAGAGCTGGGCTGTGCCAGGATCCCTCCTGAGCTCACTGCCTGTGGGTCAGACAGGGGCTAGCTCTAGAAAAAGATCTCCATGCACAGCCTGAAGTAGCAGCTCCTGCACTCAGCCCTGGTTGCCTCCCTAGACTTTGTCCTCTGAATGAGGGATAATCAGATAATCTAAAATCAAAGAGGTGTCTGAGGTGGTCAGTCAGATGTCTTCTGACTGCCCTTTAATAGAGCCAGAGGCATCAAATGGTGGAAGGTTGGGAGAAAAAACAAAACTAAGGAGGAAAACTGTCGGAACCCCAGCCTGGTTCAGGGGTTCCATGTGGTGGAAAAGTCTCTCTTCCAACCCGTGCTTCCAAAGAAAGGCTCAGCAGTCTCTGTTGTCTGGTCTCAAGGCAGTTTATTGCAAGTTATCTAAAAGATTTTCTTCTGGGGCTGCTGTGGTTTGCTCACAGCTCAGGCAGAGGTGCACACACACCCTGACATCCTCTCTGACTCCCGACTGCTTCTTCTCTCCCCTCCCAGGGCTGCTGCTGTCTTTTATATGGGACATTATGTGTTACATGTTTACAGTTTTTCCCCAATGCCTATTACCTATATTAAATGGTGCTTTTCTATCTTTTATATGGTACATTACGTGTTACATGTTTACAGTTTTTCCCAATGCCTATTACCTATATTAAATGGTGCCTTTCTACTCTAAACCAATCTGTGAGTGCCAACATCACCAAGAACATGGAGGCAAGGAAGAAGAAGGAGGAATGTAGGCTGGTCCTGTTCCTCCTCTATCTTAATACTTCTGACCCCCATGTACAAAGTAAAAACCCCCCTGTACAGGTGTTAAAACCCCCTTGTACAATACTAAAAAATTCTTCACTCTACTTTGTAACTACTTCTACTATAATATCTAAATTTTGTGACTT